GGGAGCTGCACACTCCAAAACCATGCTTAATTGCATTCAGAACCCTCATGCTCAATTGCTTCCAGAATACTCAAAAGGTTAGCATTGACTACCTCAACAGAAGATAGAATAGAAAAAGGCAATGGCGGGGTCCTCCCCAGGGGGCTCCAGGGAGGTGTTCCGCTTTGTGAAAGCGTGTGCGGTTTGCAAAGGAAAGTATTATGCTCAAGACAGGATCTTTGTTAGAGACAGGGCATGAGGAGGAAAGGGGTCCGGAAAATCCGAGGGAGGGCGTAGAGGGAAGGAGGGCTCTATGTTAGTCCAGTCCTTAAGGATTAGACGATAGTCTCTTATTTGTTCCAAATCATACGGCCCAACTCCCCTGTCCCCACTCCATTCAATTTTTGCAATCCACCCTTCTCTTTCTCCCCCCACCCAGTCTGTGCAAAAAGTCGTAATCCGTCTCTTGACATCTCTGATTTGTTTGAAAAGGTCTAATTGGGATCTTGTGTCCAACCATCTCTGCGTAAGCTCAAGGTGAATCTTCTGTTGAATCTGTTCTAGAACTTCCGCCCCTTCCACCCGCACCCTTTCCATGGTCAGGGTGCACCTCTGCCACCAAAGAGTCGAAATCACTACTCCCCTTCCCAGTCTGTACATATTCCCTACGAAGGTCGAGGCCGTTTCTGCCAACAGCCAATGCCCAGCCAATATGGCCTGCCATGACCAGGGCCAGGGAATGTCTGGTTCCATCTTCCGCCATATACGGTCCCACCATCTCCATATGAATTGGGCAATCGGGCATTGCATGAAGATGTGCTCAATGGTCTCCGTTTTTTTTGTGGGGGAAGAGACTTTGGCACCGCTGGCACCAAGGGAGCAACATTCCTCTCTGTTCGAGGGTTGTGCGGTCAACCAACCAATCGTTGGTTGGCAGACATCGGTGTGCTATTTGCCAGTGAAGGGAGGTGATTTTCATGGGCTTGGATTTTTGTTCCTTGAACCATTGGATTGGCGATAAGAGAGATCGGTCCACATTCAGTTGYCTGCCCCATCTATCGTTGATCAAATCCTTCAGATACCGCTTAGGTCTGAGCATTTTGTAAGCGGATTTGACCGTTAATTGATGCAGGCTAAAATGACTTACCTTGGGGGTTCCCCTCTTTTCGGAAGGCAGCCAAGTCCATTCCACTGGATCAAAGGTCAGATCCTGGATTGTTTTATCGGGCTGGTATGCCACCCTTTGTCCTTTCTCTTMTAGAACCCTCACCCGATATATTGMCTCTTTCTTTATCCATTCAAAAGGTGCTCTACTCCCTTGGAGGGTTCCCTTTTTGGTGATGGTGTGATGTTCGACCATGACTACTTGGGGTGAGACCATGTGAATCTGGCCGATCCTGAACGGGGCCCTGTGCATGCCACCCAATCCCCTATTCTCAAGGTAGGGCCATGTTTGAGGATCCGGTACCATTCCAGTGGGATGGCTTCAATGAGACTCTCAAAGAGTTCTTCCACACGGTGGCAGTACTTTAAGGATATTCGCATATGTTCCTTTGTTTTCCAATCGTGTCTGTCATGGTCCCAGAGATCCCCTACCCTTAGGATGCCATGTCTAACCCAAGTTTTCGAGGGCAGGGTTGAGCTCTTCATGACACAGCCCCTCGTGTCCGTTATCCATTTTTTCCCAAAGAGAGGTTGTCGGTGGACCTCCTCCCAACGGTTGGGGTGGTCCTTGTCTGGGAGCGGGAGATTACGCCAGGTCTGCAACAAGGATGGCCAGAATGTGTCCATCGATTGAGTCCCTCCACCTGGCCTGTCCCTGGCTAGTGGGAGTTTGTGTGGGACTGTCCAGAAACRATCCTCCAACTATGTAAGCGGATGGATCTTATGGGGGGCCCCCGGGCCCATTCGAGCCAAATGTTCCAAAGCTAAGATACACCACGGGTTATGGGTGTCGAAGATGAGCTTCTTAATCCATTTTATACAAAGGGCTTGGACATGTATGGTTGGGTCAATTATTCTCAATCCTCCTCATGTTTTAGGTTGGATAATTGAGTCCCAAGCTACACGACTTATTGTGTTGGTCTTCTCCCCATCCCCTCTCCACAGGAAGGCTGCTGGTTTTTCCCTCAAGCTTCTCAGGGCTGCTTTACTTAGTGGCCACAGCAAGGATTTGTACCATAGGGATGCAAAAATCAYGTTATTTTCTCCTCACCGGGGGACAACCATATATTTTCTCTCACCTCACATTTTTTCAACTGTTGTTCTGCCATGTCATGGAACATATTTTTCTTTCATTACCTACCTACGACTACTCCTAAGGGAATACAGGGAAGCCCTGCAAGCATAGTTTTCTACCTCTCTTCGGTGAAGGGAGGTTACCTCTCTCAGTGGAGAGAGAGGTAACCGAGAGAGGTAACGACATGTTTGCCCGTTTGCTAGTCTCTTTAGGGTGCAGGGTTGGGGCCGCCGATGGGGCCCCAGCTAACACAAGGACCGAACATTTATCAGTAATTGTGCCTCCCTTTTCATCTTCCCCCACCCCCATCGAGTGATGGTAGTGTCTAAAGCCAACACTCGCCCACACACCACACACAACCCACTCACACGCGCACTCACACCCGTGTTGGTTGAAGACCTTGCTGATACCAACTGGGAGGATCTAGCTGACTATCTCAGTTGGTTGGCACCAAGAGTACCACAGATGGCCATGAGGATTGAACCCACAACCTCCTGAATGCCACTTGCGTGTCTAACCAATTGAGTACAGCGTGAAAGCCATACTAATTTTTGGAGTTCCACCTACCTGCCCTTTCGGTTATATTACGAAAAAAACGCCTAGCAACATGGAAAAGATTGTGCTCTTCATTTCCACCATGGCCAGGACTGTACTCAGGATCTCGTACTGGAATAATSTTCTCTTATTCATTTGCATTCTATCGCACTGCAATGCATTGCATCGCATCCCATTACATTGCAGATCTTTTACGTCTCAAGGTTCACGAATGTGTTGTACATGGGTTGTGAGAAGGTATAGGGTTTAAAGGGTTTAAGGGACATACATGGTAACAACGAACCAGGAAGGCTGCTGAACAGGGCTGGGCTAATGAATAAGGGGTGCTCCAAGATGGGATGGGTGTTACTAGCAGCTCCATGGAAAAATGAAGCCCTGGGCTGACAAGAGATACGACCACAGCCCCAAGAAACAACAAACAACAATCTATGTGTTACAAGATGTATCAATGGGACGTTGGACCCCGTCTCCAGCAGGTGTCGCTCCCCACCAATAGATGGAGCAGCCCGACAGATAAGCCCTCCATTCGGACCGTTCTCTTACAAGCGCTAGGATAGAGGGTTTACACAAGGGCCTTTTTCTCAAAAAMAAAAGGGAAAAAAMARGATTGTGGAGTCTGGACTAATTCATTAAACCATTTTTTTGGGAGACCTGAGGTTTTACTTGAAAACTAATACGGGATTGGGTCGTTCCCAAATTTTTAGTACCCGTCTTTCGACAGTGTGGTATGGGGAAAGCAGGAGAACTCATCCTATCAGCTATTTGTGGCTGAATTCACGAAACTAAATTTCCCCCCTTTTCGACAGTGGATCCCTACGTAAACCACCAGTACCTCGGCCTGCTAAATTTTGTGTTTTTTTTTTTTTTTTTTTTTGTGAGAAGTTGTCACTTTATATTCACACAAATGTGATCGAGGGCGGGGACCTCACAATTCGACCCGGAGTCGCCAAAGGAACCATGCTGTAAACCGGGTCCAGCATCCCACGACCACACGCTCTCCACAGGAAAGAAACTTCTAAAAAAATCAAACTTGAAGCTCGGTAAAGGTTGGCCCAACTTAGCCAAGTACAACTAGTTCAATCCTTCAGCCTGTAAGAATCCTATGTTCCKTCTAAGCATTCTGCCTACTCSCTTYTTCCTTWCTTRATATTTCTTTCAGGAACCTTTGAGCTTTCTCAATTGAGGGGTATTTGAATCAATCTCCCAMWGTTCTCCTCAAAGTCCTATGAATACCATTTAAGACTACTCGGAGGGTTCACTGCTGGTAACACCCAGCCATTAGTYACTACCCAACAAACRGGGGCTGACACAGACCTACTACGGTCTGCTGTCGCTCCCTACTGAATCTGAACTTTTCAATGTGGCTTCAGGCAACGAGAGATTATCAACTTCTTTCCCTKTGTGACTGCCGCCAATTGGTTGCCTATAGCCCAAGTCCTTAGGAACCACTGGTAACCTTTTCTMCTACTTTTTGCGCTTAAYTGCCAGTCCACCAAGATCATGTTTCGTATTCCCAGGCCCACTTGCCTTTGTTGTTCCTGTATTGAAACTTTTTCGTTTCTAAAAACCACGGAGTTTCTTGCCCTCCAGATCACCTGTAGCAGAACCCCTCTGCAGACCATGGCCACGTACCCCCAGCCTTCTCTTAATGACGTCTGTTGTGTTTGCACGAGGCCGTATAATGTCCAATCGTTTGTCCAAGGCCAAGAGCACCCTGTGATCAGATCCCAGTGTTTAAGCCACCAAATYCATAGCTCGTCTGCTAGGGGGCAGCARAGCCAAAGATGTGCGTTGGACTCCCARCCCCAATCGCACCTCTTACAGGTRATAGAAAGGTCCATCCCTTTCTGAGCTAACCAAACTRCCGACGCCACCACCAACAAGGATTACATCCACAATAGGCTAGAATCTTTCTGTGATGGTAAAAGAGTCAGTGGAGATGTCCTCAGGAAAGCTGCGCTAGCGCTAGCGCCCTGACGTCGGCGGACNTCCTCGGCTGCTAGGCCTGTGCGCGCGCTCGACAGTCGCGCGCGGCTCCTTTTGCCATGTGGCGTCTGTTGTTGGTGACGTGGCCGTCCCGTGACACGCAGGCAGGGGTAGCGCCAGCCGTGACGTTGAAGCRGAAACACAAGAGGGGTACAACTATCTGGGCTAGAGATGGAGTTGGGGGGGGAGCTACAACGAGGAGCAGACGACTGGCTGATGACCTTGGAAGAAGGATGCAGGAGTTTACAGGTGATGGTGGGCGAGTTGTCTTTGCGATCATACGAGGAGCCAGAGGACGTAGGGAGGGCGATCTCTCTGGCTGGCTGGGTGAAGAATATGGTCGATGACATGCTGAACATTATCTGGGAGCTGGAGGAGGGGCCGGATCCCCAGCTAGAATCCTGCATCGATTGGATGAGAGCACATGGCATGATGTCTACCTATTATGCCCTCTTCGCTGAGGGTCGTAACCGGCGCTATAAGTTGGAGGAGCGTTTGATGGGCGATGACGACAAGGAGGATGAGAACGGGCAGGAGAATGGAGCACAGGAAGACAAGGCTAACTCCGGCGTCAACACCGACAACAACAACAACTACAACAACAACAACGACAACGACAACAACAACGCGCTTAGCGATAATAACAATGACAACAACAACGACTTCAACAACAACAACAACAACGGCAACACAACGCCAACGATGTCAACATCAAAAACAACAACAACAACAACGTCAACAATTACATCGACAACGACGAAGACTACAACGACGGCGATGACCACGGCAGCAGCGATGCTGTGGGAATTGGGGCAGATAACAACAACAACGACGATGGGGATGACAACAACAACAACTGCGATGATGGCGACATCGGTGACGTCGGTGGCAGCGATGATGGCGATAGAGATGTGGGGATTGGGGATGGTAACAGTGATGGAGATGACAACAACAACAACAGAGATGGGGATGACAACAACAACAACTGCGATGATGGCGACATCGGTGACGTCGGTGGCAGCGATGATGGCGATAGAGATGTGGGGATTGGGGATGGTAACAGTGATGGAGATGACAACAACAACAACAGAGATGGGGATGACAACAACAACAACTGCGATGATGGCGACATCGGTGACGTCGGTGGCAGCGATGATGGCGATAGAGATGTGGGGATTGGGGATGGTAACAGTGATGGAGATGACAACAACAACAACAGAGATGGGGATGACAACAACAACAACTGCGATGATGGCGACATCGGTGACGTCGGTGGCAGCGATGATGGCGATAGAGATGTGGGGATTGGGGATGGTAACAGTGATGGAGATGACAACAACAACAACAGAGATGGGGATGACAACAACAACAACTGCGATGATGGCGACATCGGTGACGTCGGTGGCAGCGATGATGGCGATAGAGATGTGGGGATTGGGGATGGTAACAGTGATGGAGATGACAACAACAACAACAGAGATGGGGATGACAACAACAACAACTGCGATGATGGCGACATCGGTGACGTCGGTGGCAGCGATGATGGCGATAGAGATGTGGGGATTGGGGATGGTAACAGTGATGGAGATGACAACAACAACAACAGAGATGGGGATGACAACAACAACAACTGCGATGATGGCGACATCGGTGACGTCGGTGGCAGCGATGATGGCGATAGAGATGTGGGGATTGGGGATGGTAACAGTGATGGAGATGACAACAACAACAACAGAGATGGGGATGACAACAACAACAACTGCGATGATGGCGACATCGGTGACGTCGGTGGCAGCGATGATGGCGATAGAGATGTGGGGATTGGGGATGGTAACAGTGATGGAGATGACAACAACAACAACAGAGATGGGGATGACAACAACAACAACATAGATGGGGATGACAACAATAACAACTACGAGGATGGCGGCAACGACGATGGTGGTGGAAGCGATGACGACGACGGCAGTAATGACCACAGGAGCAGCAGGGCAGAGAGCATCGGCACGACGGGAAAGAAGCCCCATGCTGACATGGCGGGGAGTGGAGTAGACATGGATAAGAGGGTTATATGCGGAGTGATGTGCCTGGCGAGATGGGGCTTGGGGTTGAAGGATCAATCTGCCGTTTCCCCCCCCTTCTATCTGCTGTTTCCTCATGGTGACTTGTTCTTCTCTGTCGGTCATCGGGTGGGAGTAGGATAGATGCCCACCTCCCCTTTTTTTATTAGAGTTGGCCGACCCTCAAACTCTAATCATGAAGGGGTGTCGATCGCCCCCAAGGGGATGTAGGGTGCTTAGGGTCTTGAGTTTTGCTTTGTTTCCCTTCCTGGGGTGATCGACGTCGATGGTTTTATAGATGGGATAATACTTCATGGGCACGAGGTCAATCCTTCCTTGTCGCAGACCTCTGCTCATCTCGGAAATATTCGGACAGACTATATCATTGATAAAGTTCACACGCATCATATCACACATATTTCATCACTGATAGAGATTTGTGCTTAGTCTTGATGCATAAAGATCGTACATATTGCATCATATCATTGTTAGGGTTTTGTGTTTAGATTTTGATAGATATAGAACACATACATCACATACACATCACACATACATTACATGCACTACATGTATCACAACTTTGTTAGGGTTTCGTGGATCTGCATACGAGTGTTGGGCCCGATTTCCAGCAGATACATTCACATCACCGTACAGGGATGCTGGACCCGATTTCCAGCAGATACATTTTCATAATTGTACAGGGATGCTGGACCCGATATCCAGCAGGTGTAGCTCCCCACCAATAGATGGAGCCTTCGATGTCGGGGCCTACTTACCGGGGATGCTCTTATCACCTCG